TATATATCAAATAAATTATTTGACCTTGAACGTGAGAGGAATATTTCACACAATCACACACCTTCCCTGGACCGGGGCGGGTGGAGACACTATTTGACCATTCACTAATGAAAAAACTGATGACTGAGGTTTGATATGTATGCATGCATTCATGTATGCGTGTTTTTTTTTTTTTTTTTTTTTTTTTTTTTTTAAATTATCATATACAAATTCACACATAAGTTCAGTTATTCGAAGCCAAATTCAATCTAGCTTATCTATAAGTGTGAATTAATGGATGTGAAAGTCATATTCATCGATTACATGCATATTCTAAAATAGTATGTAATATAAATTAAGAAAAAATAAAATCTCTTTGAATGTGGGTTGCTAATATTATCAATTTCTTTATCTATTGTATTAATCAAATTTGGCTCGTGTTTTTGTTTTTCTAAAGAAACTAAACAACAGATAGTTAATATGTTTAAAAGTGAATTTAGGTCATTGATTTATTTATCTCATATGTAATAAGTCATTCCATATTTCAGGATTTAAATCTGCAACTTTTAGGCTGTTAGAAAGAATAATCTTATGTGTTTGTGACAAATGCCCATATTAGTTAGGCCTTAACAGTGACAAGCTTTATATTAACTATTAAGTGTTGGTATAATGGATAAGTGTTGAGATCTAACTTTAATAGCTTTTGATCTAACATGTCTTATAATTATATCAACTTTTTATCGTATATTTTTTGACTTGAGCACTTATGACTTAGCCAATATATAAAACAGTAAAGTTTTTATAGACCTTGTTAAAAATGGTGGGAAAAACTATAGTAGACAGCTAAATGATTTTAGTATGAGAGCAGTCAAATTATATGTAACTTAAGAAAGAGTATCTCATATTTGGCTCAATTAATATGTGCACAATCTATGAAAAGAATTATGTTATCCATGCAGATATTCAAAATTATATAATATCACTTGTATAAATTCAAACTTAAAAGATACTCCTAATTCAAGTGGTTTATATGTTTTTAGTTGAGCAGAGGGGAGGGCAAAGGCATGTGAGAGTGTTGGGGGGCGAAAGGGTAATTCTAAAGATGTTGGATGCTAAATGTTAAATATTGCATTGGGTTTATTTCCCTTTGTTGCGGTTTATCAAGACATCATGACCCCATCCCCTCTCTACATACCATTTATTACTCTTGTTTTAAATAACATACTTCTCTGTCAACCTTTTAACTTATTTTAAAACAAACACACACATACACACATCCTGCTAATATAAAAAAGAAGGCTTTCTATGTGCATTGTAATAATTATATAATATTAAGTAGTTATATTTAAATACTTAATTTTATAAAATAAGTATAAGAGATAATGTGTTAAAATGTCTTTAGGATGTTTAAAATAAAGCTGGCAAAAATCGATCCAATCCGCCAACCCAACCCGAACCCAACCCAAAATTAGCGGGTTGGGTTGAGATTTTCAACCTATTTAACTTAAATGAGTCAACCTGTCTAACCCATTTACTTAAATAGGTTGGGTTGGGTAAAAATTATCAACCCGTTTTCAACCCGTCAACCCATTTAACTTTAATATATATCTTTAATTTAATATTATTTGAATATTATCATGTATTAATCAAAGTAGTAATTTGTAAATTATAATGTTGCATTATTATTATCTATGCTTAATAAAATTTAATTCTAATTTCCATCCTTTTTTAGCGTCGATAATACTGGTCACTCTCCAAATTCACTGTGAAACTAAACCTATTTAATGTTATATGAACAATTTATTTGTATTTATGAATTAGGATTGTGCTTTTGTCATAATTATGAAGTTTTATTTATGTTTTATAATTTAAGTGGTATAATATTTAAATATATAATTTATTTAATTGATTTTAAATGGGTTAACCCAAGTTTAACCAATTTATTTAATAGATTGGATCGGGAACTACATAAACAGGTCAACCCAATGACAGCCCATTTATTTAAAAGGTTGGGTTAGGTTGGAAAAATCAACCCATTTAAATAAACAGGTTGGGTTGGGTTGAAATTTTCAACCCAATTATTAAATGGGTTGAACCTGAACCCAACCCAGGTCGACCCATTGCCACCTCTAGTTTAAAATAACAATCACCAGGTCATCTGTTAATATGTTTGACATACTCATATACTGATTAGTTAAGAAACTAATTGATAAAATTGTAATAAATTAGAAGTTTTTAGGAAAATCTTAAGAAAAGTCCTAAAATTTTGAGTCAATATATGATATAGTCATAAATTAAATTTTATTAATGAAAAAACTAGAAATCGGCTATGGTAATCACTCTTACCCTTTTTACCTTTTCAGCAGGTTACCTGATGACCTGGCCTGCCAAATAGACTGTTAGGTTGACATGGCATCTTAGGTGGCATGCACTTTCTTTACAAAGAAAAAAAATCAAAATTTTAGGCGATAAGAGTGGGTGGGGGAGTCAAACACTTGGCCTGCCACTCACAAACCGGACACCTTACTATGTGAACTAGAAGTATTTATTGATATTATTTCTTCAAATATATTTATAAACTCTTAATAAATTATTAAATGGTTATCATTATTCCCCTCTAACCTTTATTTTTCCCTCCGTTTTTCACCAACCTCTGATTCTCTCATCTCAACTGTATCAACAACTCTGACAACCACCTTTTTATCTTCACCATCGGAGCGTTCGTTATAGAATTATGTTTAAAATTAACCTGGATTAAGCAAAACCCTCGTCCCCATCTTCTCTCCCACCTCTCTAGATCTCAAACAGTGCACCCGTAACTCCACCTCTCCTCTCCAACGTCAAACTTTCCTAAACCCAACAATCTCAACTGGGAATCATTCACAAAACAATCGATTTTCTCATTCAATTTGCCATTTTTGTGTCGTCTGCTCCTACAAACCCTACCAGGTCCCATCGCTTCACACCTGCAGTCATTCGAGTCAATGCCGACTCACCCGTAGAGATCAAATCTAACCACTCTGATACAATAAGTGTATCAGTTTCATCGCAACATAGAGACAAAACCAAATCTGGATTCCAAGTGAATCCAGATGTCGATGTTCGCCCTAAGGTCTCCAGGGCTTCACGTCTGCACTTTCTCTCTCCCGAGGAGCTGAACTCCATTCTTTTTCGTGTCACACAAACACAACAAACACCAGTTGCAATGCATGGCCCTTTTTCAGAGGCTCTAGCCAGAACATAGTCGAGGCCAAACTTGGTTTTAGACTAAGGAGACCAAGGAAGCTCTGGAAATCCTATACCGCCAACATTACATTCAAGCGGTTTAGGCGTGGTGAGTACCAATATGCAAGGATCCATGAACCCGAGGGACACCTCGGTGGAACAAGAATTTGACGGCTACACATTAGATGACTCTTGGTCTCAATATCGCCCTACAACAGAATCAGGGCTGAGAAAATTTGAAGCATTCAAGAAGGCTCTTCAGGAAAGAAAAACTCAACAAGTTCAGCAACAACAACAGAAGGAAGAATCTCTTCTTCATGTGGCTAAGTATTGGGCCACTGTCTTCAACAACGCTAAAACCGTGCACGACATTCTCACAATTCAAAATTGGATGTCGGACATGGAAAAGACAGTTCAAAGAGGCGAAGAGATGAACGATTAAGCAGGTGCTTCCAAGACTCCTCATCCTCCCAACACTGAAGACCATGACTCAAATGAAGATGGCACTGTAATTGAAATCAGCTCTGCACCAACCTTTGACTTGGATGACAACAACAATGATGAAGTCCAACAGCCTCTCACTTCCGATGACTTCATCATGGTACTTGATGACGAAGATTCTAGTGGATCACAACATTCCACTTCTAAGCCCAAACAAAAGAAGAAGAAGAAGAAACTAGCTGTGTCTCGAAAGGAATTCCTCGATCTTTAATAAAAAGTTGATCAGATTTTGGCTGCAGTTACTTCTGCAAACCCGCAGACCACTGAAGCCCCCACTACACAATATTTACTTGATCGAATTGAAGTGTTAGAAACTAGAAAAAAAACTTACTACAGAGAGGACGCTTCTATGCATAGAGATGGGGATCAGACAACTTGATAATCAACGTACTCTGGATCACAAGGAATTTATCTCCAATGCTAAGGATCTTATCAAAGAGGTGAAAGAGCTCAAGAACGAACTTCAACAAACCCTACAAATTCAAGAAGGCAAATCAAAGCAACTTGTAACATCCCGAAATTCAGGTACAGCTATTTAACCCTTCTCTTTTGTCAAATTGTCAAAGTTAGCCCTTGAATGAAAAGTTGTAGCAAATGAGTACGCTGGGCGTACTCAAGGGTACGCTGCGCGTACTCATGCACTTGAAATGGACGCGGACCCTTAGAGGTACGCTGGGGGTACCAAGGTTACGCTGGGCGTAACCGGCCCAGATGCAAAACCCTAATTTAGACTTGAGCCCTATATAAAGAAGGTTATGGCCTTATCCTCAGCCACCATTTGAGTGAGTGAAACCCTAAAAGAGAGCCAACCTTCGTTCTAAGCTTGTGTGAGTGTTTTGGGAACTAAAGTGCCTTTGTGTGTTAGTAAGGAAGAAGAGGAGATTCTTGTGAAGGCTAGAAGTTGGAGTGCAAG